TTCATTTTTTCGATAAGAAAGGGTCGAAATGATCGGTATGACTCCATGTTTTTGCTATGTTTGTATGCTGAGAAAAGTGAGAGCTTTGGTTTCTTGGGTTTTGCAGATCCACGATGGAGGTTGTGGTGAGATCTCAGGGTGGTGAGATGAAAAAATGAAAGAGAATCGACATAGCTTTTTGTGTCGTTCCCCACAGATGGCGTCAAAAGTTAATGCACAAAACCGGAGGGGTCTTGGAACAACGTAAATTCGACCGTGAATCTGCAAGAAAATAAATAACACAAGATGTATCGTGGTTCACCACAATGTTTGGGCTACATCCATACTGATATTGTATTTCTCTGAGAGGATTGTGAGGGAGAGAGCCTCTGTAATGTGGGAGTGAGGCTTTGAGAGGGTGAGGGGGCTTGCTCTGAATCTGAGAGCTTGTGGATTGTAAGGGTGAGGAGGCCCTTTTATAGACTAAGGGCTCCTCCCCTTTTTAAATATTTTCTCCTTCCTTTATTACATAATTACATTTGAGTCCTCCGAGTATTTATACGAGGTCTAAATACGGAGGCCCTAAGTATGGTATAAACAATTAATAATTACTATATGAAAATAGCAAGAATCATCAAGTTCATTTGCGTTCATCATCCTTCCAATATGAAGGTTTAGAACACTAATGACACCAGGATCCTATCAGTCAGTACTAGTTATTCACATATGCGTAGTAGTTCGTAAGAACAACAAATATATTTACAATCTCTTAAGAAAGAGTAATTCCATGACCGCTATAGATAACTTCGCTGCTAATCCTCACGGTTTTCACATCGCAAACAATCAAGTTTTGATATCAGGAGATTGCAAATTAGAAATAGACATGAGTTCAGGGACGTACTTTTCATGTCCATCCCTATTCGCCGTAGTAACCCTATCCAACAGTGCAGGCAGAAAACTCAGGTCAAGAACCTGATCCGCTATAGGGTTAGAGATTGCGATGAGCGACTCCCTGGCCTGCTCGCCAGAAACATCCTTGCAGAGTACTTCGTTATCCATAAGGTTTCGAATATTCCTGCATTTCAAAAACCCAACATTTCTTCACAATGTTATCAAGTTGTTATCAAGTTATGACGAGTTTCGGCGAACGCCATAGTTTTTGCTATTCTTTTTCTATAACCTGTTCCACTGTGTCCAGCCAAAAACTATTCCGAAGTTATCCAGTTGTTGTACTAAACCATAAACCAAGTTTAAATGTCCATTTACATATGACATTACAGACATCACCCGTTCAGATGCACATCAAAGAAAAATGTTACAATTATCATGATTTTGGACTTTAAAACTTTCCAAATCACTGTGTAAAAAGTGGCCTAGGCGGGCCTTGACGCTAGGCGGAGGCTAGGGGCTCTAGTTAGACATAATTAAAATTAAAAACCCACCTGGCTCCTAGGTACTAGGCCTTTGCTTGCCAACTGATTACCGTTTAGTGTATTTTAGAACCTCGATACAAATCCAACTATGATAAAATGTTATATAGGAGGGATTAGAAATGCATCATATAGTTGTACAAAGACACATAGTAGGAATTTATAAATGGCTCTTTTAAGTCACGTTGCTTGTAAATGCTCATATGTAGCATGTCTAATCCTCCTATATAATCGGTTATGATCAATTCGTTACTAATTTGACCTCAATTCCTTCAGATTTTGAAATTCTCACCCAAATATAGCTTGGAATCTGACTTTGTTTAGCAATATTTCATCACACCCCCAAAAAAGAAGAAATCATTTTCATTTGCTAGGCATAGCAGAAAAGTTATTTCTCTTTTCCAATTACGGTTAAGAATTTCATCAAAAGTTGGGGTGTGATAAAACTCAATTAATATCAAACTATGAGATATTAAGGTTCAGTTCCGAAAAATATCAAACTCAATTCCCTCGTACTGTCGAGGTTTTTTTTTTTAAAAAAAAGGTCCAGTTCCACAGTAATGAGGATTAAATTGTCACCGATTATAAACAAATTTGGACGTCAATTTGGTATCTCTTTTTCCTAATACGGATTATTTACTCTAATTCTTTAATTTTGCCCCCAATTTGTTCCCGTTTTAGGGTTTCAAAATCAAATCCCAATTCAATCTGACTCTCACCCTCTCCGACTCACTGCCATTTTTCCCTTTTATTTATGACCCAAAGCCTCGCGGTCAAGGTATAAAATATCGATGATATCAGAAATATCAGTAGTTCAAAAACACGGAAATTGTAAGAAAAACTTAGAAATTTTTATTGAAACTTTGCAGGATGTTTATTTAGTCAATTATCTATTAGTTTATCACAAAAAATTGGAAGGAAATGGATTGCATGATAGATACAACTGATTTAAGTTGATTATATAGCGAGCTGACAAACATTGTGCGTGTAGAAAATATTTAGCAATTAATGAAAGAAGTTTAAACACACCATAATCATTTATATATAATGAATTAGTACAATATTTTACACTATATATATTGCATGGTAAGATACATAAGTGACTTAGCAAGGTCTAAAATATCGATGATATCGGAAATATCGGTAGTTTAAAAAATTATTAATAGTCCAAAAACATGAAAATTTCTATAAAAATTTCAGGATATTATGGATATTTTAGATCATACTCGCGGCCGGCCCCTCGTGCTGTTGATGTAATTGTGCGACCACCGAGCGACCTAATCTGTGGGTGTGCGTCCCCTTTTCACGCATACGTTATTGGCTAACTGTGCGCGCGTCACGCGTGGCTGCCCGCCCAATAAAGTCACTCGTCAGCTGTCTCTCTCTCTCTCTCTCTCTCCCCATTTACTTTACGTGTTCTTTTGACTATTTATCACAAATTTATTTCATTTTGTTTCAAACTTCAAACCTTCATACTTCAAAGTGATTTTTCTTTCTTTTTTTTTCTTTTCAAAAAGTGGGATAATTTGTTACAAATCACGGTTATCCATCTATTTGGAATCCGAAGAGGCTATAAGGAATTTTACTCTGTCCGTGGCCACAGTCGTGCAGACTCACTAGCTTGAAGCATCAAACTCGGAATTTCTCACATTTTTGTTTATTAGGGAACTTCAAAGTAATTTTTCAATCTACTAGAACTATATTTAAGTAACGTTATAATTTTATTTAAATTTAAATTTAAATTCTATTTTTTATTAATACAAATTATAAAAATTAAATGTAACTATTATATCGTTTACTTTTGCTATTATAACATATAAAAATATACATCATGTGATTCGCATTCATGATATCCATAATAAATCCTCCCAATTCAAGACTTTGGAACTTTTTGTTTGGTGTGACATTTGTCATGTTGATTTACTTAATATTTTCAGTACAACCTGTACTATTATTGATGCAATGATATTAGGGGGGTGGGGAGTTGAACTGAGTCGCACGATAAGTAACACTAATTTATAATCAACTCATCATTCATGAGTAGGTATGTTGACAACAATAGTTGTTTTCTATTGTTACATTAGAGGGAAATGAGTTGGAAAAATACCTAAGTCATGCTCTAACTCTGACACTCCAACTCATACATTTGCATATGAGTTAGGGTTCTCAATGATTTTTTTTTTCTGATTTCTGATTGGACTGTTGCCCTTTTTCTACCTTTTATCTAATTGGTCCTCCTTAACCAATTAATTAACTTTAAATAACCAACTTCAAACGTTCGTAATTATACCGTTATAATTCGGACTCGCAAACGGCTTAAGCCTATGTGTTTGTATCAACGAGTACTACTTAAATACACCAAAAGAATAAGCCATACGTTCCTCTAGACGATGGTCAACATAAATCAAAATCCTTGCCTCTAGGCATTTTCGTCAACTCCCTCGATTAAAATAAATTTAAAAAAATTGAATTTTAGGAACGGGTTGTCACATCGACACCCTTCACCAAATTGAACTTGGATCGAGATCACCTTTGGTGGCAGCTTGGTCGATTGACAATGACTTCTTGGACATCACCATTAACATTTAGGCAATCAACATCCTCACAACCTTAATCTTGGAGAGCTTATTCGGTGCTTCCCTAGTGGTCTGGTGATGCAAAGAACGGCAAGGTTTGTCTTGAGATAATGAGGTTATAACTGAGGTGCGTCTATTTTTGGTTGAAAACTATTTCCACACCCCCTCTTAGGTCTTGGTTAAGCTTATGCCTTTGAGAATTTATGGAAGGGATCCCTTAGGCCCTACTATAAGAAAAAAAAATCATAGTGCAAAAAGATATTTAGACAACTTGCCACGTGAAGCAAGTCTGCACAGGTATTTTTACAAAACAAAGCAAGTTTGCCCAGGTATTTTTCAGGATCACTTGCCACGTGAAGCTTCTCATGGTCCAATTTTATTCAAGATCAAGCATCGACGGCCCTTGAAGAAATCACAAGTCCGATTCAAGATCAAGTGTCCACCACCCTTGAATCAAATTCCGCTCTAGATAAAAGGAGTAAATTTAGACTTTTGATGCAAGTCTAAGAGAAAGCCTTTCAGCCCAGTTCAAGAACAAACCTGTGGAAAATTAACAACAAGTAGAACACCTCTTTCGACAACTCTTTTTGCTAAGAGACTAAAGCAGAATGATCAACGATCAGCCTAAATGATTTGAAATTAGGGAGAGATACTCATCAAGGGGAGCATCCAAAATAGATCAAGATTTTAACCCATCAATCAAAGACTTGTGGTCATCCAAGGGGGAGTGTTGTGAATAATATGTGGATGACCCACATGAATAGTTGTTACTATTTATGTACAGTATTTTCACTATTCATTTGTAGAAAATTTTGTAAAATGAATAGTGCTGCTACAGTAACTTTTTCTATAAAATGAAAGCATGTGAAGGAAGGAAGAGAAGTGAGAGACTCACGGAAGATGAAGAGAGAAAAGAGAGGAAGATGAAGAGAGAAAAGAGAGGAAGATGAGAGGAGATAATAGAGAGTTATATTTGTACTCTTATTATTTCAGATTATAATGAAAGCATCACTACTGTCCCTAGGATGTACTCTAGTCATACTGACTGTAGAGGAACCTCGTAAATTTTGTGTCTTGTTTATTTATTCCACTGCACACACCATCGATTTTACAACAAATACTAATATTTTACAAGAAGGGTATGTTCAAGGATTGGAGGACCAAGTTGTATCCGCAGAAACATTGGAAAATCGAAAATCCCAAATACGACAAAGTGATGACATATAAAAACAAAGGGGCCAGCCTCACTTTTCCATTGTAATCTTCCACTAACTAGCTCTTATCCACGGGATGAGGACTTAAAACATATTTTACAAAGGAAAGCAAGTCTGCCCAGGTATTTTTCAGGTTATATAGATGATGATGGAAGCTTCTTAACTTTTGCAAGGCAATTGTCTTTGGGTCTTGGATGGGGTAAATAACTCACTCCAATTGCCGGATTGAGACGTTCAAGCCTGCATTCAACATTCAACAAGTTGAAGGTCAGAGGCCATCTATTATTTGTAACTTTACATATTAATTAGTTAATTAATAAACAAAAAATTAGTGATGAAACTACTACAACATTTTATAATTTGAAATGTCCGAGGTCATCTGTACGACAATTGGTTTAAACTAGATACGATGAACTTGAAATTTATATTCTTTCAGATAAATAATTACAATGTAAAATATCACTTGTATTGAAAAAATTTAATAACAATTATTAAAAAAATTAGTAACAATTAAAATTCTTGGATTTGGAATCTCACCTCCAAATATACCATTGCATTGGATTTGGAAACACTTTTATTAGAAAATACATTGATATTTGGTTTTAAACCTTCCGTCCTTCTTAGAAAAACACACTTCAAGTACTTCCTAAAGAATCTCCAAGAAATTAACGCATCGGTATTTCTTCTTAGACATGAGAAAACTCATCCCCTTGTAAGTTTTATTTATGAGTAATCCATCTTTTACCTTCAAGTGGGATATATATATTTTTTCATTTCTTCATTTAATATACCTTGAATATGGTGAGTTATCTCATTCTAGACACCAAACCAACCCTCTATGTTGAACCTAGATTTCAATCGGTATCGGATTTGACAGGAGGGATTGAAATCCCACATTTTAAATCCAAAATCCAAACAGAAGTAGTCATGACTTTGTAGCTATTTGTTTGAAAGAAAATTATGAAGCACAAATGGAGATTAAGCAAAGGGACTCACTCATAATTAAGGAGAAAATAGTGAAGAAAGATAGTAATTTCAAGCTTGGTCAAATCACTTCCAGGGCATAGCCTACTTCCTATTCCAAAGGGAATGAAACTCCGTGCCTTGGCATTACTTCCCTACAAAAGCAAACCACAACTTGACTTTGTTAAAAGACAATTTGCTCAGCAATATCGATTTTTTAGTATACTTTGGTGTTTTTAACTGTAGATCTTTGGTCATTGATAGAAGGCACGAATGTCATACCCTATTACAAATTAAATTGAATTAGGTGCATTATCTTGCTTACATTCCATCTTGAGGGGTTAAACTTCTTTGGATCTGGATAATATTCTGGGTTCAAATGGACACCTCTATACCACATCATTACTTTCCAGCCCCTTGGTATTGTGTAACCTTCAAGACACAACATGTTCAGCAGGTTTAACAGATTAAGCAAGGATTGGGTAAGTAGCGAAGTTAATTTACCAGAGACTTTGACATCAGTAGCAGCCTCTCGGTAGCTATACAATGAGACGTTAACAATGCGCAGAGTTTCATCGATTACCTTACCTCAGAAGTAATCATAACTTGTTAGTTGTTACTTAGATTATATTAGCAAAATGATGGTTGATAAGAGTTGAAATTAGCCACAGAAAACATACCTTGGAAAGATATTCCATCTGTTTAGTTCCTTTAAAGTTCAATCCTTCTTCTGGTGATGCCGTCTTCAGAATCTCCAGTTGTTCTGCCTGAAACATAGTAACATCCAGTCAATTGGGTTCTTAATATTTCGAGAGAAACTCATCTTCGATTGAACTATGGTCCTTGGTAGGAAGAATGTGGCCACCAAAAGTAGCTGGAGACAAACATATTATCACAATTCCTCTACAAGTTTACCAAAAAACAAAAGGAGACTGAAATAGAATGCACCCACCTTGGCTTTTTGGTAGTATTCTGGATTTTCATGTAAGAAGAGAGTAGCCCACAAAGTGGCATGGGCTGTAGATTCATGACCAGCGTTTAAGTACATGAGGACTATGTCTATAATCTCTTCATCATCTAATTTGTTACCATTTTCGTCTTCGGTTTCCATTAACATATCTGTCAAATCTGTTCTTTCCCTTGATATCTGAGCTTCGTTTCTTGCCCGCCTTCCGTCTAAAATACCTTGAATAATCTTAACCATCCTTCTTCTAGCCTGATTCATGTAAGAATATCATTATCGAGATTCAAGTCTAAGAAATGATATCATAGAAAGAAATAGATAAAGCAAACTCAAGTTGGTTACAACAGCACACTCCCCCCTCTGCACCCATGTTTGAATCCCTCTACTTGTAGTTTAGATTATATTAGAATATCTCTTGATTCTCGAATCAGAAAGAAGAAAAAAAAAAGGAACTGAAGCAAAGAAAGTTATCAAGTATTATCTGACCTTGAGGGCTTTATGAAAAGCAAAGCCAGGAAGGTTAATGGCCATGGCCCTTAGACCATGATTCATAATAGCATATTCCTTTTCCATGGTTTCTAACGGTGTACCAACCTCACAACTCAAGAAAATGAACATGATTATTCTGAATGTGATCTTCCTAATCTCAGTCAAGAACTCAACGGGCTTCTCCGCTTCCGCTAATTCATCCAATGAACTGACTATGACATCCTTTATATACTCATGGTACATAGACAGTGCCTTGTGACCACTGATTGGGGCGGCTGTCAGCTTGCGAAGGCGCTTGTGTTCCTCTCCAGATAGGCTCATAAATGATTTCCTTCCCATTAATTCCGACGTTGATTTTGGCCAACCGGTCTTGAATTGTAAACTATCCATCAGCACCTGCTTGCACGTTTCAGCTGTTGTTACAATTATGGTTGGCTTTCCAAACAAACAGGCTTTGTAAATTCCAGTGCTGCCAAACCTATTAGTCAACACAAAACTCATTAGAATGCATGTACGTTCGAATTCTGATCACACTTTTGCGGGTTAGAGACAAACCTTTTGACATGATTGGAGATGAACGACTCCGGATGATCCGATTTTAGAGCCTTGATGAACGACAGGGTGTTGCCAATGAAAGGCCAGCCCAGGTCACCCGGAGGTAGAGTGTGCTTGTTTTCACCCAATTTTCTCACGAACAGCCATTCGTTTGCTTTCTTTAGAATCAAAAGTAGAGCACCAAATCCACCAACTGAAGCTGTGAAAACAAAACCCCAGAAACCCAAAAACTCCATTTTTCACCTTTTTCTTGGATTTTTCATTTTACTGTTTTCTCTTAAATAGAAAATTTTGGACTTGTGCTTTAGTTTTGCTTCTTCTATTTGGCATTATGTTTCACAAGATACCAAGCATCTCTCAAACGGAATCTTTGTGGCTAGTAACTGTTGTCATTAATGACAAAATAATTTGATGAATAAAAGGCTTGTAGCTTAGTTTGTTAGTAGCATTTAACTCTGCATTCAATTTAGAGTTCAATACCTCCTTTCTTGATAGAGATCTTCTATGGTACTCTAGAGAATGAGATACTCTGAGTGTTCTAAGCGTTAGATCTTTTTTATTTTTTATTTTTTTAATATTCTTTTGGTTTTCATAAATAATCCGGTGCTAATTTAATACGGAATGACACCAAATACCGGATAATATTAAATAGTACTATCCAGCGTGTTATCCAGCATGCCAAACACGTGTTTTAAGGTTTAATTTTTTTAATATAAAAATCAAAACATATTTTTTTTTTATAAAAAATATAAAAATCAAAATATTTCTGTTGTATCACATACTCTAGAACACCTTAAAATATTTGTTCCAAATATTGCTTGTATTAAAAATCGAAAAGAAATCATCCTATATGAGAATATGTACCATGTGATTGAGGATAGAAAAGCAACCAGGGAGATTATATTCATTCCCCTTCACTCACTAAACCCCACTTCTTAATTGAGTGATACTACATTTGTCCTTTTGGCAACAACCCTTAATTATTGAGGTCAATGAATTAGAAAAATCAAGGGAGTTTTAATGAAAAGCCTGTTATACTGTTTACTTTAACGAAAAATCATATTTTTACACTAAAAAGTCAATCCTGGTACTATTCACTTTACCTTTTATTTTGTCTTTATCATTAAAAATCAAAGTTTTCAAGTCATTTTCATTAGTTTTTCAAAAAATGAAATCTTCGTATGATAACTACAACATCAGTAGGTACGTGAAAGGAACTTGCAGTTAGACGCAGGCGAGATGTCGAGTTCTTATCCATTAGGTCTAAGAGAGCATAAATCATTCTAAAAACCCGACATCGACTATCGATTTAGATTTAAAAACAAAAAGAACAAAAATAAATAAATAAATAGAGTAACTATTACATATGACAACGATATGTTTAGGGAATTGTTATTAGCACTTCAAAAATCTCATTCTACACTCCAAACTTTCTATATTGAGAAAGGAAAATACACTTGTCAGGAGTGTAGAATGAGATTTTTGGAGTGCCAATAATACTTCCTTATGTTTATTATTTATTAATAATTAATATACGAAAATAGCAAGATGTTTTGGACTTGTGCTGTAGTTTTGCTTCTTCTATTTGGCATTATGTTTCACAAGATACCAAGCATCTCTCAACGGAATCTTTGTTGCTAGTAATTGTTGTCATTAATGACAAAATAATTTGATGAATAAAAGGCTTGTAGCTCAGTTTGTTAATAGCATTTAACTCTGAACTCGATTTACAGTTCAATATCTCCTTTCTTGATAGAGATCTTCTATGGTACCCTAGAGAATGAGATACTCTGAGTGTTCTAAGCGTTAAATCTTTTTTTTTTTTAATATTCTTTTGGTTTCCATCATGTCTTGTTTGCTGATGTCTCGACCTGGACGCAATCTTCTTAATCTGCATGCTATAATTGCTATTCAATGGAGGTTGAATTGTCTATCTGCACCTCAGCTACTACGACCTGAGTGAAAGAATTCTTCTTCAACTCCTTCAGAATTTGCATTGTGCATCGTTGAATTTGCATTGTGCATCGTTAGGAAAGCGGCCTCATCAAACTTGATTTCTCCAATTCCTTATCTTGCAATGGGAGTCGGATCTTATGGTACTCGACTGATGTCACCGCTCTAATATTCACGAGCCACGATAGCCCTAGAATACTGTTATGGGGAGATGGATCGCTGGAGATCATGAAGGTTTGCGGTGAGACAATCGAAGGGGTACTCATATCGAGTACGATTGTGCTGCCGATAGTTGACGTGAGCCGTTGAATCCGGTCAGGACCTCCGTCCTGCTGGCTAGGCCAATGCTGCTGCTGACTGGGCTTCTCCTCCTGGCTAGGCTGCTTCTGCTAGATTTGGCTCCACCTATTGTCTGTGCTAGCTCTCCTTAGTCAATACCTCTAAAAAAAGAAAGAGTTTAGGGCTTGATTGTGTAACAAAAGCTTACCATAATATTTGGTTGAGAACAAGATATTTATAGAGCATAGGTCGATCACATGTGCAGGGTTTACCCTAACATATGCCGGCATCACATTGATATGAACGAGCCCTTATTCTATAAAAGTGACTCCCTCACCTTCAACGCCACAAGCCAAGCCAACCAAGGCAACATAAGCCACAAGCCGAGCAGCCTCGCAACATGTGCTACTTAAGCATCATTTCTCTTTGAGCACCACCTCATATCAAGTATCAATTCAAGATGACATCTAGTTAGTTCGGCCCACACATGGACTGAATTTAAAGTCACCAGCCAAAAGACTCTCTTGACTGAAGACTTGGTGGACTACTATTTATACCATACTTAGGGCCTCCGTATTTAGATCTCGTATAAATCTTGGGGGACTTAAATGTAATTATGTAATAAAGGAAGGGGCAAATATGTAATAAGTGAGGAGCCCTTATTCTATAAAAGGACCTCTCACCCTCACAATTAGGGGAAGCCTGCTCACCCCCAGAAGCCATTTCTTAAGCCCTCTCATCCCCTCAAAGCTCTCACTCTCATATTCAGAGCTCTCTCTCCCTCAGAAATACAATATCAGTGTGGACGTAGCCCAAACCTTGGGATGAACCACGATACATCTTGTGTTATTTACTTTCTTGTAGATTCATGGTCGGATTTACGTTGTTCCAAGACCCCTCTGGTTTTGTGCATCAACAAAGTTGACCTTCAATTAGGAAAGCATAAAGATAAGAATTTGTAATTAATCCCATCTTTAAGACTTCAAACTTCAAGGATGTTAAACTACATGTGGATTAAATGTGAGTCTTGCCAATTTAATAAGTGCATTCTCATATTTTTTTTTTTTTTTTTAAGAGTTCACATGTTAGTTCTAGAATTTATTGAACTAGTTTTTGCTCCACAATAGTTGTTGTCATTAATGAAAATATAACTTGATGAGTAAAACAAAAAGAATCATGCGTATGCAAGAGGACATTCACCCTGACACTTGAACTAGAGTTCAATTCCTCGCTTTCTAGAAAGAAAATTTCTATGTTATCCTAGAGTATGAGATACTCTCAAGTGTTTTAAGCTTTAATATTTTTTAATATAAAAATCAAAACATTTTTTTTTTATAAAAAAATTTAAAAATCAAAATATTTCTATTATATCACATACTCTAGAACACCTTAAAATATTTGTTCCAAATATTGCCTGTATTAAAAATCGAAAAGAAATCATCCTATATCAGAATATGTACCATGTGATTGAGGTTAGAAAAGCAACCTGGGAGATTATATTTGTTCCCCTTTACTCACTAAACCCCACTTCTTAATTGAGTGATGCTACATTTGTCCTTTGGTAACAACCCTTAATTATTGAGGTCAATGGATTAGAAGAATCAAGATTGTTTTAATGAAAAGTCTGTTGTACTGTTCATTTTAACGAATAACCACATTTTTAAAAAGTCAATCCTGGTACTATTCACTTTACCCTTTATTTTGTCCTTATCATTAAAACTCAAAGTTTTCAAGTCCTTTTCATTAGTTTTCCAAAAAATGAAATCTTCGTATGGTAACTACGACATCAATAGGTACGTGAAAGGAACTTGCAGTTAGACACAGGCGAGATGTCGAGTTCTTATCCAGTAGGTCTAAGAGAGCATAAATCATTCTAAAAACCCGACAGCGACTATCGGTTTAGATTTAAAAACAAAAAGAACAAAAATAAATAAATAAATAAATAGAATAACTATTACATATGACAACAATATGTTTAGGGAATTGTTTTTAGCATTTCAAAAATCTCATTTTACACTGCAAACTTTCTATATTGGAAAAGAAAAATACACTTGTGAGGAGTGTAGAATGAGATTTTTGGAGTGCCAATAATACTTCATTATGTTTATTATTTATTAATAATTATTGTTTGTACCATACTTAGGGCCTTCGTATTTAGATCTCATATAAATACTCGGGGGACTCAAATGTAATTATGTAATAAATTGAGGGGAAAATATGTAAAAAGGGGAAGAGCCCTTATTCTATAAAAGGGCCTCCTCACCCTCACAAACCTCATGCCCGCTCACCCTCACAAAGCCCTAGCATCCCCTCAAAGCTCTCACTCTCATATTCAGAGCTCTCTGTCCCTCAGAAATACAATATCAGTGTGGACGTAGCCCAAACCTTGGGGTGAACCACGATACATCTTGTGTTATTTACTTTCTTGCAGATTCACGGTCGGATTTACGTTGTTCCAAGACCCCTCCAATTTTTTGCATCAACATTTGGCGCCGTCTGTGGGAATCGATACAAAAAGTTACGTCGGTTCTCTTTCATTTTTTCACCTCCACCGTGAATCTGCAAAATCTGCAAAAACCCAAAAAACCCAAAACTTTCCCAGAAAAACCCCCACGGTTCTCCATTTTCATATGCCTAACAACAACAAAAACATCAATCCATCTGAATGTCCTCTCTCTCTCTTTCTCTCCCTCGATTTTCGTGTTCCATTTCAACTTTTGTTAAAGCCTACTATCTCTCTCTCATTCCAAGAACTCTCTCCCAGCTGGAGAAAAGACAAAAAAAACAGCTTAATTTAAGCACCTTGAGATCTGGGATTTTTCCAAAAGTGCATCTCCTCCGTCGTTGCCATCCCCGTCGTCATCTGCCTGACTCTAATGATCATCATTGTGATCACCGCCCTTATCCACGAGTCTACCACTGAGTAACCCTCCAACACGCTACCCCGACTCGTGCTTTACTTCTATATCTACCCTCAACCGCTCGCCAAACCCCAACCCAGAAGCCATTTTTCAAGCTCTCTCTTGAAATCTCCACCGCCGAGCTCTCCCGCCTCTTGGCGTTGTTCAAGATCGTGAACTCCGA